ATATATATATATATAAACTTTATTTTATTCTTTTACTGTGATTACTGGATTCAAACTCAGTTTTTGGGACAGCAGAAAATACATTGCTTGTTTGCTAACTAGTGATATGGTAAAATAACATCAACAAATTCAGTCATATAAACTGAGGGTGGAGACAATCCATTCTTTACTTAAGCTGTGGCCATGCTAAATCTCTTTTGGCTATGTTTGAATGGCTTCACCCAACATCCAACATTTAAAATTGATAAAAGTTCCAGTATCTGAATGCTAACCAACCTCCCATTATCCTAGACCCTCCTTTTTTATTTTTATTTTTATTTTTTTGCTTTTGCCCTCTGTCTCTTAGTCTACTACCCTAGCTAGCTGGCTGATCTCCAGCTCGTTTATCCTGGGTGTAACCAAGCTGTCCTGGCTCTGTCTGGGGTTGGGCAAGGCCAAGGCTGGACAGAGAAATCGCTGGCTCCATGCTTCACTGGGCCCAGGAAGGGTGCAAACACCTGCTAAGACCCCTGTGTGACAGGCATCTGATCAACCACAGGAAGGGGAGACTGATGGGACCATGTAAATGCACACAGTCACACACACACACTCGTACAAAACGGGTCTCTTGTGTTATTCTAACATATGCTTCCCAGTCTGATGTTCCATGAGCAAAAAAACAGGCTGAGACCTGAAAAGGCTTTTGTAAATGTGACAGCAGACATAGATAACACATAAAGTTATTTAATTTAACACTATATTTTTAACATTTTCTTCAGGTTTTTGCTTGGTTATTGCAACATGTTTGGTTCATTTTGGTACTAGAATATGCTGTAATCAAGCAAATAGGTTGCCAATTGGCCAAAATCAGGTACTTTTTATTTTACTTTCCAAAGTTCATGATCTGCAATCAAATATAATCAGTGTTCCCTCATTAACTTTTATACATCATTCACAGAATCGATTAATTCAGTTTAAATGCATTAATTACTTATTCATCTCAGTCATATTTGCTTTTTATCCCTAACAGCTTGTAAAAGGGATGGTGAATGAATTCATTTTTGCAACAGTGTAATTCTTTTCCCCTCATTTGCTTGGTTTGTCTTTCTAAATATTTCACTGTAATGACACTCCAGCGTAATGAAWGTAGAGGCGGTTTGTCGTCCCTCTCTAAAGGCTGGTTCACACGAAACCCATTTATCACACACGGATATGAAACACAAGAACAGAGCTTGTTAAGTGTTTCATGGAGCTGTAACTGTCTGAGGAGTGGCCAACAACCTTTTTTAGTAAATAAATCCATGGCTTTATTATTGTTATTTTATTATTATTCTTTTATTTATTTATGGATCAGAGCAATAAAATCTATGTTCACCTGAAAATGACCTGACAAAACTACCAACAAAGAATACACTCTAAAACAGCACCAATCTTTTTTTTTATTTATTTATTTTACTGTTTCAGACTGGAAACTCATTTTTTTTCTTTTACTCACAAATAAAACGACTTACTGCTAATACTTTACATCCATGTGGTCGCACACACAGCAAACATAAAGAACAATTGTTGTGCCAGTGAGGAGAAAGGTGGACTATAATGTCTTTTTTTTTTCTTTCCAACTAGAAGACACAATCTCTCTCTGTGGTACAGATTTAATGAGAGAGCTGATTGTGAGGGTGCACATGTCATCATTTGTTTGTGTGAGTCAGTGTGCGAGCGTGCGTTTTTTTTGTGCATATCAGACACATTTATGTGTACAGACACCATTGTGTGCACAGGTACATTGTTGACGAGCGTGAATGGCTTTCTTTCTTTTTCATTTGTTTCTGTATAGCTGCCACTTGTAAATTGTGAAAAAGTATGTGTCAAAAGTTTGTAAGATGTAACTTTCTGAAAACTATTGTACTAAAATGCACTTAATAAACGCCTTGGAAAACAAGTCAGTCACTTTAAAGGTTGTCATTTAATGAATAATTGTTTTCATTAAAATTAAGTAAACAAAACAGCCAAGAGGTTTCTTTCTTTATATATTTATATATAATCCCGATTCACTCTTGTCAACACTGTCATACAGTGTTTTCATAAAAGCGATCAAAATAAACAGCTTTTTGTCACCACCAGTCTGACTGGCAGAGCATGTTAAAAGCCATCAGCCACTAATAAGCAAGCCGTCAGTTGGACATGACCCCCCCCTCCCCCCGCCAAACGAGTCTCCAAGAAAAAAAAAGACAATATTTTGACAAACTAGTGAAAATTATCCATCTATTTAATATCACACACAGACATCCAAGTAGGCCAGGAGTTAGTGTATTCACATAAATTCAACTTGGAAGATTGACTTTCTGAGAGCATCACATATTGGAAAAATTGATGGAGGGTAATTATATAGCTAATGAGGTGTGTCAAGAAATATGGAGATGAATTTAACTCTCAGTATTCCTTTGTAGAAGTTTATTGACTAATTGATTGGTTGTATCGGACTTCATATTAGCAGATAGAGACCCTGTGCCAAACAGAGAAAGCCAACATGAATTACGACAAGCAATTTTCAGCCATTTTAAGTTTGTGATTTTAAGTAATGTGTTGCCATCCCCACTTTGTCTTTTTCATTAGAAGATTTTGCGTGTAGTACTGTGACTGAAAAATATTATAAAAGCTGTTCAATAGGGAAAAAAACCTAAACTCAAAGTAGGTTTCCCTATAGGAATGCATATTCCCTGCTGCCGTGCATGCCAAAGTTTTAAATAAACAGATTTTTCACAATCTGTTACTGCTCAAAGTATGATTTGTGGATAARTCTTAGCTACTACAACACCACACTTGAACTCATTAAAATGATAATRTAAAAAAGGCATTTTTCAGATTGTCATCAATTCCACTACCACCACCTGTCACAAGGAAGGAATTAAAGACTAGGGGTGTWACAATATATTGGTCCACATYAATATATTGATTAAATGATTAATTCTTCRGGGCAAAATGAGAAAATAAATCCATATTGTCATCATATCCCCAATGTAGAACAAAATCATATGCCGATCTAACACAACACAATCATTTATGATGGATGGGCATAATATGATATTGCATCTTTTTGATTGCAGACTTGTGRRCTGAATTGAATCGAATCAAAATCATATTGTGACAGAATGTGATAAAGAAATATTGTATCCTCATCAAAACATATAATATTGTATTGCGAAAAATCAGGTGATTTACACCACTGTTAAAGCCATGTTTTAAATACATTCATGACAAGTGAGGTCATGGGGCTATGGTAGTTTGGCAGTCAGTCTTGTGTTCTCATCCATCCTAGCTGCAGGTTTGAACCCAGTTTCTGCCAGGATGGACATTTGGTGTGAAAAAGTAGCGTTGGTCAGCGATGACATCACAAGACTTCAAAGTCCYAGATKAATTTTTGCAGCGGACCGCATACATTATGCCTGAATCCAAAACTTTTTTTTTCAGGTAAACATAGACAAAGATGTTGTTCCATGTGCCAAAATTGAGTATGAYTGTATAGAGGAATGCAGCACCCAACTAAAGCTTTGGCTACAATGTAGAGGACTGTCAATGTTTGGCAATTGCGTTGAATTGATAAAAAAGGTAAGTGTTTTTGTTCCTGCATTGTTATCCGGCATTAGCCTTTAGCTGTTAGCAAGCTGTGTTGTGTGCCCAAGAAAGACATGAAATAGTATTATTATTGTTTAAAAAACTGCAT